GGATCACTTAAATATCACTTAGAGTTGGATCCAAATGTAAGGTTTGGAATATGGTTTGTGAATTTTGGTTTGGAATGAGGAATGGGCATTTGGAGGGAAAATGAAATTAACCAAATTTCAAATAGGTTCCAGATCCTTCCCAAAGTGAAAATCAGACTTGCACATGACCAAAATTGGACCCCAAAGTGCCTTGCATTGAAAATTCACGTGTAGAGGAAAAATCTGCACTGGTTAATCGATTAACCATATAGGTTAATCGGTTAACACCTTCAAAACTTCAGATTTGACCTGATTTTGACTTGGTTACTCGATTAACCATATTGGTTAATCAGTTAACACCTTAAAAATTTGAATTTTGGCCCATTTTGGAGGGAATTCTGCCCTTTTGTCCATTTCAAACTGTTTTGAGCTCTATTCAACTTCTGAAACTTGCTCTTGCGCGCTATAACCATGAGAATGCTTACGATAGACTGAATACTGCTTTCTGAGCTGAAAATACCCTGCAAAATAAAGTAAAATCGGTCACCCGACCGCTGGGCAAAATAAATGTCAGGGACTCTGATGCTTGTTATTTCGTCCCTTGCCCTAAAAATGAGCCCTGAGTCACAGGAAAACCTTGATCCCCTGTCCCAAGAACAAATGATATGCAATGCCGAAATGCAAAAATGCAAAGAAAACACAAGCCAAGTGCAAGAAACGGTTGGTCAAATTTTGGGGTACAACACCTTAGTAAGTTAAGCTTTAGATATACACACCCTTTGATTAGAACAACAAAAGTGGATCTCGTTGAGTACAACGGACGTGAGGGGTGCTAACACCTTCCTCTTGCGTAATCGACTCCCGAACCCCGAATTTGGTTGTGATGACCATGTTCTTTACCTTCTGAGGTTTTCTCGATGTTTTCCTTTCCCTGTTGGGATAAATAAAGTTCGATGAAGACTCTGTGTCTTCGCCAGTTGTTTTTCGCGTAGCGACAACAAGAAACAAAATTGTATCTCATTATCTACTTTGCAAGCTGAATATATTGGTGTAGGGAGAAAATGTACTAAATTGCTCTAGATGAAACAAATTTTCAAGGAGTAAAATGTGGGACAAGATATCATGACATTGTTTAGTGACAACTTGAGTGATATCAATATTTCAAAGAATCCTCTTCAACATAGTAGAACCAAGCACATTGACATTCGTCATCATTTCATTAGGGAGCTTGTTGAAGATAAAGTTGTAACTCTTGGGCATATGGCAACTGAAAAATAATTTGCCGATATTTTCATGTAATTTCAAAAGTTAAGGGGTGTCCTTAGTGTTTGCATTTATGAGAGTCAATAACAGTCAAAGCCAGGGAGGCGTGCATTGGATTTCTCTTTCTTTTGGTATATGCTACACATGAAATAAAACAAATTTTTCTTATTTCAAAACCTCATTTTATCTGGACTTTGGTTACAAGCAAGAATAATTTTCACTTTTCATGCTCTCGGAAAACTACATTTTCTCTTCTCCCTCAAGTGGCTACCTTTTTCAATATGAGTCAAACTTATGAAAATCCTAAAATGCAATCTTCTAACACATGAATTAGCAAGGCTATTGATAGATTTCTCGAGGCTGGGACAAATAAGAACAAGGGATCTGGTTCTATTTCTTCTACAAAAGGTATGGTGACACGTGTTGGATCATCAGGTGGAACATCTGTGGCCGGGAAGAAATTTGTAATCGGGATGAAGACTTTGAAGAAAAGACATGTTCAAGCACATGAACCTGACTCAGAGGCTGATGAAGACTATGTTACCTTTATGAATTCAAGAGGTTGGACTGAAGATCAAATATGAAGGGGTGTGCTATTACTAAGTGTTTTTGCTTAGTTTGACCATGTATTTGGGAATATTTTCTTTCCTTTTTGTTTGGATTTGTAATGGCTTTGTTGCCAATAACTTTGTCTGATGCTCTAACATCTTGCTCAACATTTGTCCTAAATAATTGTTGATGGCGCGTCTACTCCTGATCTAATGTGTGTATGTGCTAACATACTAACCTCTAAGTTGACTGACTATTTTGTCAAATTATGGCAAAAATAGGGAGTAATAGTGTGCGTAATAGAGTGGTGCGACTACTAACTTGACTACTGATTCTATGATGTATGCAGATATTCTTCTGACCTGATATATTCTAATGTGCTTGGTAATGACTGATATATATGGTATGAATTGATCTAGTTTCTGTGTACACATATGCTGAAGCATCTGGCCTAGTATCAGGCCCTTAACTACTGTGTGTACTGATATCAATGTGTGTTAATAGTAGCTTCTGACCTTTGACTACTGACTAGTAATTGTGTGTACATGCATGACTAGCTTATCATGAATGATTGCATGTTAACTATTTTTGGGAGCATATATTGTGTGTTTAATGACTGATGTGTAGCAATAACCATGCTACTAATATTTGCTTTTATTATTGTTGCTGATGTATGCTCTGATGTTTGTGTTACTACTGCTGCTGATGTTTGGTCTGAGTATGGGATATCCTTCATACTAAACCGTGTTCCTGCTTTAAGGGTTGTTTGTCAAAATTTGTCAAAGGGGGAGGTTGTTGTTCCTTTTGGTTTGACTACATCATGCAAAACAACATGGAAGTAACTTTAAGCTGTTTCTGGTACAAAAGAGACACATGCGGAACACGATGTTCCAACATGTGTGTTGCAACATCTGGTCTTTGGCAATATACAAATGATACTGCAGTTTTGCTTCATAATTATTCTATCCAAGATTCATTATACAAAGAAGATCTACAATTCATGGAGAAGAGTTAATTTGGATGTACTGGTGCAACATGTGGAACACGATGTTCCATCATGTGTGTAATGAAATATCTGACTCTGGTCAGCAGACCGTGATGGATGTTGCTTGGTGCGAATTTTTTTATTGAGATTCAATCAAATTTATTACATATTATTTAGTAATGCTTGTCCGATTTGTTTGACAATTGTTGAGGATCAAATTAGATTTAAATGGAGATTTAAATTTTAATTTGAAATATAACAAATCATATATTTTGTTGGAGATATTTATGTAGCAAATCAACTTCAACTATTTCGGCTATTATTCTGGACAAATTTAATTAAAATATCAAAGGAGAAGAAACCCATAAGACATTGTTATATAAATAGACTCAGTTATCATGTTTTGACAACTGTTGTGTGCGCAAAATTACATTTTTTGTGCTTAAGGTTTGTGACTCATTTGCTTCTTATATTCCACGATAACGTTATATTAGTGTTGAATCTATTTGTGTACACCATTTTATATTTCAGTAATTTGACATAGTTGAGTTGTAAATTCAACAATCAATAAAGTTATATTGAAATTGATCACTAGAAGTTAATGATTGATAGAAAATGAGAGAAGTTCTCGTATTTAGGGGGAGTCTTAATTAGTAAGTCGTTAGAATTAGGAAGAATCATTGAACATTATGGAGTTGATGTTTATAGAAAGCTAATTGTACTAATTTGAAGTAGTGAATTTCTTTTGAGTGTCATCCTGCCGTATTGTGTTAATGTTGATGTTATATTCCTATTTTACTGATTTAACAAGGTGAATCAATTGTTCCAATATCATATCGAAAATTTATCCCGCCCAAACCATAATTTCAGTGAATAAACTAAACATTAAAATTAAAATTAAAATGTTAACCTTACTTGCCAACTTAGCTTTATCACTTGTGACGCCATTCCAAAAGAACTCTAGCCACATCAGCAAACTTGACAAATTAGATAACCGGAATAGAGGATATGGAATCCTTATTATCATCCCCTTTTTTCTATTTAATAATGCATAAATAGAGAATGAGACTTGTTTGTTACAAGTAACTTAAAAATATAGTGTACAGGCAAGGTAAAGAATATTCCTACATTCTTTATTGCCCAAAAACTATATTCAACCTTTTCTCTCCTATAATTTAAAAGGTTACTTTTATATACCAAATTTTCTAATAAATACAAAAAAAATTAAATCACAATTATATAAAATAGTTTAACACAATTATTAATAAAATTTTATTATTTGATAAAATATATTTTAAAATTTAATTGAAACATATTGACAGTAAAAAAAAAATTTACATAATCAATTAATCATAGTTATTAGATGTTTAGAAGAATTTAATTTTTATTTTAATCACTTATAAAATTTATAAAATAAGACAAACAATAAATAATAATTAATTATATAAAATATTTTATATTGCCCGTACATAATAATTAATATCTATATTTTTTATTGATTAATAAATGTAAAAATATATTTTCTTTTCTTTTAAATTATTTTGCTTGTTTCTATTTTTTTTAATCAAACTTAGCAATATATTAATTTCCTTTTTTTTAAGACAAATACAAATAACGTTTCGAACTTCAATTTTTTTTCAATAATATTAAATTCTTTCGATTTTTAATTTTGAAAGAGGTAGCGGCAATTCCTAGAGAGAGAGAGAGTGGTGAAGAAGAAGATAACCAAGCTCTGCTATCTCACACAAAGCGCAACTATAATGTAAGATTTCATTTTGACAAATTTCTCTTTTTTTCAAATTTCACTAAAAAAATCATTCTTTTTTCATTTACACTTTTTCAATTCCAATTTCAGCAGGTAGGAATCTCCCAATTTGCAACAAATTGAATTTGTTGACCTAAATTTATCCCCTTTATCTTCTTCGTTTCCAACACCATCAGGTACTCCATCGATTAACCTTTTTCTTGTCGATTAATTGTAATGATTTTGTTTTGTGTTGAATTATGTTAATTTTTTTTTGATTATTTCAATATATAAATTCTGGGGTTTGGCTCTTTTTTGATAATCAATTGCAATTATTTTGTTTTACTTATAATTTTATGCTAAATTTTTATTTTTTTTCATAATATAAATTCTGGGTTTAGTTCTGCTTCATTTGAATTAATATTAATTTACTTAAAGTTTGTTTTTTTTGTTTGTTTGTTTTGTTTATATGGGCAAAAGATGATGTTGTCGAGAATGGATAGTAAGAAGAATAGTTTGGTTTCTGGAAACCAGAAGAAATTGTTAAAGGATGTTGACACTATGAATAAAGCTATGCACTTGGATAAAAATGTTTCAAGGAGTTCAGTATCTGGTTCGAATTTGAATTCTCGATCTAAAACCATGGGAAAATCTGTATTTCCTGATTCAAAACCAAAGGCTAAAGGAAGTAATAGTAATGATGATAATGATGGTTTGCAGAAGGATAAAAGGTCTATATGGAATTGGAGGCCGTTGAAGGCGCTTTCGCATATCCGAAATAAACGGTTCAATTGTAGTTTCTATCTTCATGTACATTTGATTGAAGGGTTGCCTTCTAGTTTTGATGGTTCGAGTTTTTCTGTGTATTGGAAGAGGAGGGACGGGGTTTTGGTGACTCGTCTGGCAAAAGTGGTTCAGTCTGTAGCTGAATTTGATGAGAAGTTGACTTACACTTGCTCGGTTTATGGCAGTAGGAGTGGACCCCACCATTCTGCAAAGTATGAGGCAAAGCATTTTTTGCTCTATGCTTCTCTTCTCAGTGCGCCGGAGCTTGATTTGGGGAAGCACCGAGTTGATCTCACGAGGTTGCTTCCTCTTACTCTGGAGGAGCTTGAGGAGGAGAAGAGCTCGGGTAAGTGGACTACTAGTTTCAGGTTATCAGGAAAGGCCAAGGGTACTGTGATGAATGTCAGTTTTGGGTATACGGTTGTTGGTGATAACACCAGCGCGACCAAAGATAGCCATAATGCTCCTAATGTATTGACTTCGAGGCAGAGTAGTCTTGCATCAATGAAACCAGACGTTAAACAGAGACAGTATGACGGAAGCAGCAGTGTGAGGCGTGCAGGAAGTTTTCACGGTGCTTTACCCGTAGACGCTTCTCAAGCTAAAAACCTTAGCAGTCGGTACTCTTCTCAAGCTGTAGAATCGGTAAAAGATCTTCATGAGGTGTTGCCATCTTCTAAGTCTGCACTAGCCAGCTCAATAGGCGTCTTATATAAGAAATTTGACGAGGAAAAAGAAAGCAGATCTGTGGGCAACAAATCGGATCCTGATTTGTCCAAAGAAAATATTGAGCTAATCAAACCAGATGCACGTGCTTCATCTGATATTGGAAAAGAAACGCCGGAAGTGCTTGCAGTTAACAATGGAAATACATGTCCAGTGCTTGACACACCTGAACTCGATGTATTTCACGAAAACCTAGAGACAGATAAACAAGATGGCTATCTTTTACTTGATTCTGAAAAAGAAAACCTAGAGACAGATAAACAAGATGGCTATCTATTACTTGATTCTGAAAAAGAAAACCCTGAAGATTGTCAAGATAAGGATTTTTTTGTCGTTGATAAGGGTATAGAAATCTCACCAATTGAACCGGTTAAAGTAGAGGAATCATTCACAATGGCTTTTGAAGATGCTTCTACAGTTGATAGTTCTCTTATCCTTGATACTGCAGGTTTACAAGTTTCTTCCGAAGATAATTTTATACATGGTTCTCTTCATGAGGCAAATGACGGTTGTAAGGATCACACAGTGGCCGATGAATCTGCTTATGAAGATGATGATTTATTCACAAATGAACTGCTGCAAGAATTAGAAGCTGCTATAAATAGTGTCTCAGATTTGGAGACAGGGGCTCTAGAATCTCCAAAAAAATTGGAGTTCAAATCTGAGTGTAAGATGAGAAAGACAGATAGCTTAGACGATGTTACAGAATCGGTTGCAGATGAATTTTTAAGCATGCTAGACATAGACCATAGTTCAACGGGCTCGAATTCTGAAAACGAGCCTGAGTCTCCGAGAGAGCTTCTGTTGAGACAGTTTGAGAAGGAATCCCTGGGTGGTGGCTTCTCTTTATTTGATTTTGATATGGACTGTGACAACGAAGCTGATGATAACTATGGTGCCTCTACTGGATCTGAGCAGTTGAACTTCTCTGAGGCCATTCATTCATCATCCTTGTTCCAAAACCTGAACAAGGAGCATCTCGTTGAGACTCGGGACATTAAGGGAAAACAAAAGGCTCAAATGCTAGAAGACTTGGAAACAGAAGCCTTAATGCGTGAATGGGGTTTGAATGAGAAGGCTTTTCATCATTCTCCGCCAAAAGACTGTACTGGTTTTGGAAGTCCAATTCAATTACCACCTGAAGAGCTTCCTACTTTGCCTCCTCTTGCCGAGGGGTTAGGCCCTTTTCTTCAGACAAAAGACGGGGGTTATCTACGGTCTATGAATCCGTCAATTTTCAAGAACACTAAAGCTGGTGGGAGTTTAGTCATGCAGGTTTCCAACCCTGTTGTTGTACCTGCAGAAATGGGTTCTGGAATAATGGAAGTTTTACAGTGTTTGGCTTCGGTGGGAATTGAAAAACTCTCAATGCAGGCAAAGGAGTTAATGCCACTGGAAGATATCACAGGGAAGACAATGCAACAAGTAGCATGGGAAGCTATGCCGGCCTTAGAGGGAACCGAGAGGTTAGTCTATCTTGTTTTGCATCTTAGTCTTATTTTTTATTTAAATATTTTGGTCTCGATGATGAATTTGAGATTAAAAGTAAGAAATTTGTAGAATTTGAGATTAGGGTTTCAAGAGATGAAAAATTGGGATTTTTTATTTAGTTAAATTTGATATTTCAATTGGTAAGTTTTAAGTGAAATAATGTTTACAGAAATTTAATCAATTCAATTTGTGATTTTTTAAATAGATCATGAGTATTTTGAGGGTTTTAAACAAATGAAAAGTGATGAGACTTGATTAAAACAATTATAAACTCGAGGGAGTAAAATTGCTCATAATTAGAGGGACCAAAATTACACACAGTGCAAACGAGACGAGCCAAGTTTGTAATTAAGCCTAGAATTTCTAAAAGCTGCTCTTACAAGTTTCTGATTTGCTTTGCTTTATTTAGGCAATGTCAATTGCAACAAGATTTAGTAGCAGGTCAAGATACGGCGTGTGTGCAAAGGGACTTGAAAGGAACACCACCATCTGGACCGAAGTCTGGCAATTTTAATTCAAGATCAGTGGCCAACCAAACAGGCTCAGAGTTTGTTTCAATTGATGATCTTGCCCCACTGGCTATGAACAAAATTGAAGCGCTTTCCATGGAGGGATTGAGAATACAATCTGGCATGTCTGAGGAGGAGGCCCCATCTAACATCGTTGCACAATCCATTGGGGAAATGTCAGCTCTCCAAGGGAAAGGTATTGATATTAGCGGATCCCTCGGCATGGAAGGAGCTGCTGGTTTGCAGTTGATGGATGTAAAAGACAGCGGTGACAGTGTTGACGGAATAATGAGCCTATCGTTAACCCTTGATGAGTGGATGAAGCTCGATTCTGGTGACGTCGATGATATAGATAATATCAGTGAGCATACTTCCAAACTTCTTGCAGCCCATCATGCTAACTCTTTCGACTTTATCCGTGGTAGTTCAAAAAGTGGAGATAGGAGGCGAGGCAAAGGCTCAGGTAGAAAATGCGGTTTACTAGGAAACAATTTCACAGTAGCGTTAATGGTGCAGCTTCGCGACCCTCTAAGAAATTATGAGCCAGTTGGAACACCAATGCTTGCTCTTATACAAGTTGAACGAGAGTTTGTCTTACCAAAGCAAAAAATATTTTGTAGTGTATCCGAGTTACAGAGCTACAACAACGACGAGGATGATGAGAGCGAAATCATAGCAAAGGTGGAGATCAAGGATACCGAAAAAGAAGAGACAATTTCTGAAGCAGAACTCATTCCTCAGTTCAAGATTACTGAAGTTCACGTGGCAGGTCTTAAAGCCGAGCCACAGAAAAAGAAGCTTTGGGGCACCTCAACGCAGCAACAATCCGGTTCACGCTGGTTGGTTGCAAATGGAATGGGAAAGAACAGTAAGTTTCAATCAATGAAGTCAAAGGCTGCAGCTAAATCTATTGCTCCGGTTACCACAAAGATACAGCCCGGTGAAACGTTGTGGAGCATTTCTTCGCGAATTTTAGGTTCTGGAAAAAAATTGAAGGAATTGGCAACACTAAATCCACTTATAAGAAACCCGAATGTCATTATACCAAATGACACTGCTAGACTTAGTTAACTGAAAACTGGAGTTCATAATTCAGATTTGTTAGGACATCAATCAAATTGGACTGGTCCTTCTATAATTGCGAGATATGGCGGTGATATAGAGAAAACAGCATAAGCATAATGAGCATTTTGCTATAGGCTTATTTTTCTTTTGTAAAGTTGCTTGTTACTTTTACCTTCATCAGTTCTATTTTTGTCATGTACTTGTATCATCAGAATGTACTGTGTGCATATTTTCATCTGGTAAATTATATACTGTAGTTGCAAATTGAGGCCTAAAACTTGTGGCCTTGTCCTTGTTACAAAATGTCACCTTGCTTTTTATCAAGAGAAAATTAGACAGTGAAAGGATAAGTTGGTCATTAAAGTTGTGTTCATTGCCTTCAATTTTGTGATTGATGAAATACATGTACGAAATAGAAATGCTCTAGTAAAAAAGTTCAAAGGTGTTACAAATTACAATCATTACATAACCAACTAAGATGGTGCATTGATATATAGGGAGGGATCTCAACTCCCATAGTTAATGCATGCATGAGGAGGACCTACCATGCAGAAAACAACTTTGTTCATTCATGTATGTTTTTTAATATTTGGATTCTAGAATTCAAATCATATAAGTCACGAAATCTTTCTTTTTCATCACTTCTATATTTCGCTTTGCAAAACTAAAATATCTGATATTCGAAACTCATTTTATTATCTCACTTTTTATAAAATCTTGGTGAAATTATCATGTATTCAACTATTTAACAATTTATTAGTACACATTTACTTAAAATTTTGATTTATTGTTGCATTTTTTCATGGTATGCTAGCATCGTTTAAATGATTGAATCTAAGCAGGCATTATGCCGCACGGATTCTATAATTTGAAATTTAAACGACAACATTCATTCTTTGATTTCTTCGTTTGTTGATTTGTCCGTGTTGCTATTTCTTATTTTCAAATGGGGTGTATTTTTAATAATGGATATGAATAAAGTGCCGAGATGTTGGGGAGTAGAGTTATTGCCTCTATTAGGTAGAAGTGGCAATCAGACATATCCGTTCTGTTTAGATTCTTTTACAAAAGTCCGTAAAAAAATGGGGGACGAATATAGTTAAGAGTGTGGGTCTAAAATTTTAATCCATCCCGCACAAAAGTGCGGGCGGAGCGGGACAAATCCGTGGACACCACACCTATTAAACTTAAAAATGAATCAAATTATGTTAATGCTTATGCATGCAAAAAAATAAAACGGGATGAGACAGACACATTAGAGGGTGAGGCCCTAAATTTTTAATCTGTTCCGCACTAAAGTGTGGACAAAATGGACATGCTCAACAGGTCGGGTCCATTTTGCCACCCCAAGAAGTGAATTCTACTTGCTATCTCCCAAAATTAAACTTGACACCCCTCAATGTTTCATAATACCAAAACTGTCCCTGAATGAAATACACATCAAATTTCTGTTTGAAATTTCTGGTAGTTATAGTAAAATTTCCGGTACATTTTGAAATTTTTGGTTTACGGAAAATTCCAAATTTCCGGTAAAGTGCAAAATGTTCTGAAAATATGAAATTTTCGTGTTGATATCAGAAATTTCACTTAAATTTTCGGTAGTTTCATTTTTAGGGTGTTCTTGGATGATCAGGATTTTGCCGACAATATTATGCAGCTGTGATTGCACCGATAGTTTGTGTGGTCCAGAATAGATTAAAAGTTGTATAAATAGGAGTCACCTCTTGTTGATAAACACATCTAAAAAAATTTCTCTTCCTCAATTTTTGATTAAGGCAGAAGTTCACTTCAACGAAGCTTCTCCTCCTGTAGAGTTCAAGCTTCTGATTGCATCACCTCTTTTGTCGGTCTGACGTCGAAGTTGAATGAATTGTTGCTCGATGTTGACAATAGAAAGGTGAGAAAGATTAAGTTTCGTGAAGATTGGATTGATACAAACGGGAGGGTGAAATACAACCTTATTGAATTGAAGACCGACGAAGACGTGAAGGAAATGTGGAGATCATTTCATCGTAGGATAACAAGGGGTCGGTCGAGTTAGATACGAAGCTGTCAAGATCCATTTATGACATAATGGAGATGCCGAAACATCCTGAAGTATCTGGTAGTGTTTAGGTTTTTCTTATTTATTAATCATACTGTAATGTTATATGTTTTCTATTTAAGTTATGAAAATCATTGTCAGTTGTTAGTTAACGTTCACACTACAATATAAGGAAGATCACTAATATTATCTAATAAAATGTTATGATAAAGATGTTTGAATAATATTGTTCACACGCGGTTTTCGCGCGAACAACCTCTGGCCTCCTAACGCAGGTTTACTTGCGGGATCGACCAAACAAGTCCCAGAACAATTTGGTTAAGTCTATGCGATGTCGGTAGAGTGGTTTTTGTTTAGAGTAAGTCGAAAACAAATTTGAAGAAAAATTGTACACGATTTGATAAACAAACAAGTAAACAAGTAAAAGGCAAGACGTCTTAAAATTTGGTAATGTAAATTGTTTTAAAAAGAAATGTGGACGCTATTATACATTTTGCAGGAGTGAACTATTTTCTCTTAACGCTTGGTAATCATAATGTATTCCTTTGACAATGTTACAAAATGCGACCTCCTAAATGAAAATGGACATTGCTTTAAATAGAAAAGGAAAATAACTGCTTTTCTTTCAATGTTGGTTTCGGTGGTGACACGTGTTGCTCTACCATCTTTGTAACTTTCCCACGCTTTCATCCTTTCAAATTCCTTCCCGCTTAAAGGTTCCCACACTTTATGTCGGTTTCATTGGTCATCAATCGACACCTTCGACGATATAACTTTGGGTCGACTCACATTATATCTCCTACTGGCATCGACTTGCAATATATCTTCTGCTGGTGTCGACTTAAGTCTTTTGCTTCACCATCTTCCTGACTTGTCGACCCACATATTAGCCTTTTCGTCAACTCTTCTCAATCAAAATCTTCCAGCCAACAAGTTGCCCTTCCCCAAAAAAGCCAGTTTCGACTGAGCACTATGTCAACTGAGAAACTTGGCGTTTTAATTTTCTGCGAGATTTCGACTGTACCTTGGTTTTCACCCAGTAACTCAATCATTTTCCTTCCATCGAATCAGCCACGCGTCACATGATGTCTGGCGTAATAATGGCGCCTTTCTACGCCACGATTTCCAAGAAATCTCATTATGCCTAGTCTTGTCCTAAGTTATGAGCTTTAACCCACTCCCACTCACTTTAGAACCAGAACAGTTCATTGTCCTTTCAGTTGCATGTGATTTGTCTATAAATACTCCTTACCCACGTTTGGTTTTCTTTTCCACATGCTTTCACACTTTCCTTTTCTTCAAAACTTTCTTGCTCCCAAAGTTCTCTTAGCTTCTCTTTCTATGGCTTCTTCTGCAACATTATCCGCTTCTGCTACTCACACAACTGTCGCCTTTGTCCTTTTTGAAACTGAATCTCTCAGACCCCTTCCCAATCCAACGTGTACTGATGATGCGATGATAGCAACTTGGAAACGCCAGATGATCATTCCTTTCGCGGTGGCTAGTAAACTGCATGCTTTCCATGAGCCGTATCCTGACAAGAAACCCAGTCATGAAGAACTCCAAGCGTTCTTTCCCTGCTACGTTCCTACCATATCTCCTGCTTTTCAGAAAGGTGGCACCTTCAACCTCAAATTCATGGCGCCAAAAGCTAGGGTTTTCCGGTCGATGCCCACTCCTGGCAACAAGGACTATATCTCTTAGCTTAATAGAGTCCAAGGTAAGCGTCAAGAGCAATGGGAAACAACTGACATCTTTGACGTTATCCAACTCTCTAGGAACGCTCACAGGGTTAACACTTGCCTATTACTGGCGTCAGTATATTTTTGGGAGGGGCCGACCAACACATTCCCCTTCCCTTGTGGTATGTTGACGCTGAAACTTTTCGACGTGGCGGCCATCACAGGCCTTTCTCTTTTGGGTGAAACTTTTGACCCGACTCTGGAAACGACCAACACTTTCGACTTTGATCGTGCTGATTTTCAAAACTATATTGAGGATCGTCATGATAACGATTCTGACAAAGTTTCGGATGAAGAACATATTGCCTTCCTCACTCTTTGGTTGTCATACTATCTTTTATGTCCTGGATCTCTGCAAATAGCCAAAAGTTACATTGACCTAGCAATCCAAATTCATGAGGGTCGACAGGTATCATTGGGTATGCTCTTATTATCCTCCATCTACCATTCTCTTGGTCTATCGACCTTGAGATTGAAACTTCTCCATGAGACCACCAAAGCCTTGAATGTTTCAGGGCCTTTGTGGCTGTTATAACATTGACTTAATGCCACCTTTGAACACCAGCTGGGTTACCCTGTGTCTACAAAGATGGAGCGTTTAAACGAAGAACGTCCCATAGAAGGCGTTTGACTTGCTCTGATGACCACTCAGGAAAATCCCAATAAAACCCTCTTCATGAAGTATCTTAATATGTTTGCAGAAACAACATTTTTCATCCCTAGCACGACTCTCTTCGTGAATCAATGGTTTGGTCCGACGTGGTTCAAAACTTCATTCCCTGGTGTTTCCCCCAAAACGACAACATTGTGGAACTCTATATGGAAGGCGTTTCTAACTCCCACCATGTTATCATCCCGAATTGAGACGGGGAATACAAGTTATGGGTTTATGAACTACCAGCCCAACTTGGTGGCCCGTCAATTTGGCTTGAGCCAGATGCTGCCCAAGTCCTTGGTGCGACATTCTTCTAATATTGTTTGAGCTGGTCGACGACTAAACTTGACAGGCCACAAGAACTGCCTTAAATTTTCTAGGTAAACTCAACGCCTTGAGTTACCTGTTTTTGCTTTCCAACCATCCTTCTTTACTACATAAGGCTTTAATGTTTGGTGGTCAGAGTATCAAACTCAATGTTTTCAACGTGACCTTTCCTAGAAAATATGGTTGATGCTTTTGCTGCCCTTGCTGGCGAAGTTCCTACTCTGACAGTTGTTATTCC